TACGCGTCTTTAAATTGTTTTTTGTTGTACCAACATATACTTGGTTGCATATGTTGGATCCGTCACCTTTACATTTACTTTGATAAACCACATTGTAACATATTTATCCAATGTATATATTTTATATTCGGTGTTACAAAACAGCGTCTTCATCGTGTTTGGCGTCTTATATGTAATTTTATATTTTTGTTTGTCATATATTGTGGATGTTGTAATTTGATTGGAGAGTTTAGGGACATATACAATACTTTTATAAAATTGGGTATTCTGGTTTACTTTTTGTTTTCTTTTTCCTTTTAAGATTTTATGAATTACTGGGTTAGGGAAATAATTGTTGTTTAAAACCCTTTTGATGTTGTTTCTTACCTCCTCGTGGAAAATTTTGTCACTTCACTCTAATGTTTTTTATTAATTAAATATTATTTAAAATGTAACTAGTTCACAATACTAATTTGTTAATATTATATCAAAGCTAATTACATATATAACATGACCTAATTATATAATACATTTATGAAATATAAAAGAAATTTTGAATAAAAATTTATTTAAAAAATTATAATGGATTTTTTACAGTTTTGATACAAAAAATATGAGAAAAAAATAACGCTCTATAGTAATTTTAGTTTGCTTTTCGATGTTAATATATAAAATATTTCAAATTAGAAATTTAATTTAGGCGTGTGTGAGTTCGGGTACATTGAGGTAAAGTAAATTGAAATTTCCTAGGGAATTTTTGCACTGCACTTATGTAAATATTTATTTATTTATTTATTGCAGTCATTTATTATTTTTGGTTAAATGTTTTCAAATATATTTATTTATTTATTAAACATCTTATAAAATTTTCACAATGATAACACCTTAATTTTCATCTAATTTACCCTACTTGAAATTCTGATAAATACCAATATTCGCTACCAAATCGACATAATATACTATTTCCCTTAATTTACTCCAACTCGCACACGGCCTTAATACACAAATTAAATGTTTAGCATCGCCTGCCTTAATTTCTTTTTTTTTATATTTAAAACTTACGTTGTGATATATGTAACTATAATGTTATTGATTTCTACTTAAAATCCATATACATACAGATAAAAGATCTGTACAATATATATAGAAACTGAATATATATTCAAGGAAATATTTTTGTATTAGTTATAAACTAAGTCTATTTCTAAACATTCTAAAAATCTCTTATGACTCAAGGAGACACAAATAGATATTTTTACAATATCATGCATAAAAATTTTTTCTAGGAACAGATAAATATATGGAAGGAAGGAAATTCATTAATAGCAAATTAAAAATTTACATACTTTGTTGTTACAATTATTGCAAATATCTACGCACATCCACCTTTCTTTACTTTTGCGCAGGCAACCGAACGCACAGAATATATATAAAATATTTCTTTGCAAAAGTAGAATTATTTGAAATACTCAAGTAATATTCAAGTACTCAAGTAAACTATTATGGAGAAATCAACCCTCACTCCATTAAGACGAATGCTGCACACATGCGATTCCATCGGCACACATTCGATTCCATTTACTCTCATTTATTCGTATTCTCTCTAGAAATAATTTGTAAATATGGTACACATGTAATGAATGACCGTAAAAACGAATGTTTTGATGCAGTACTTCAATACATATGTGAACTTAATGCTCTGCGTAATAATAAATGAGTTAAATTTATGTATTTGTGAATTTGTTTACTTTCCTAACTTATCTTAGGAAAAAAAAAATTTCAACATCAAATTAAACAGAATTTAAAACCTATTTAATTAGAATAAATGATTAATAATAATTATATTTTACTTAATCTATACACGTCATATAAGTAAAGAGCGGAGCTAGCAACACTACTTGTCAGAGCTTGGTTGGCAACGCGTGAGTTATGTATGCCCTCCTACAATAGTATTTATCGCATTATGTTTTATATACTGTATATTACATTCTTTCTTAAAAAGTATTTTTTTTAATATTTTTATTTTACTAAATAAGCAAATTCATTTTACTTTTGATTATTGAATATAAGCATTTCCGGTATTTGGAAATGAGGTCATTAATCAGCAATACAAATAAAATAATTATTGTAAAGATATTTTTTTATAATATAAATACAATCAATATTCAGCCATATCAATAAATATTATCAGTTATTGTAAAAGTAGTATTTTAGAAATAAATCATTAATATTTTACACCTTGAACAATTCATTTGTTTTTATTTTTTTTGACAAATCTCATTGTTAGTAGAGAGTCCTTCGTAGAAAGGCGTTAGAGTTGAGCGAACATGTGGTGACAATTGAAAGCAGAAGTCGGACTATACCTCGCTGCGTATGCGATCACTTATTAACATTTATCACTAAACATTAACACTTTTAATGAAAGATTTGTTATTTTATATAATTAAACATTATCGTGCATATATATACCTACATCAAAAGCTGTACAAAAAATTATTGTTGTTCAAAAAACAAATTAAAGTCAAAATGGATTTGCTGTTCTTATAGGGTATTCTTTCTTATATATTGTTCTATATATACAGATGTAAACAAAATAAAGAAAAAACACAATATATATTCTATTTTTCTTAATGTTTTTCACGTTTGCAGTGTAAAAATATATGCACAAAATGTTATTTATAACTTTTTAATGTAGATAAAATAGTGTTGTTATAATAAAATGTCAAAACTTGTGATCAGTTTGACCTATTGTAATGACCTTAGGCTGCAGTTGCATTGCCTGCGAATTTTGTTGCTGAGGATTATTTTCGATACTTTATTTTTGTTATAATCTAGTACATTTTGTATTAGTTTAAGCAATCCTAGATAACGAAATGCAAACAACTGAAATAAATATGACCGACATGGTTGACAGTTGTATGAAAAAAGGATTTTAGTTTTCCAAAAATCGTTTGCTTCAAATCGACTCTAAATAAAGAAGGCAGGAGTGTTAACCTTATTTCTAATTTTAAGATTGCATTTTAATGTAAAATCACAAATAGACTCACCTATAGCACTGATTTCCAAGTTTCCCCACAAGGAGTATCCTTGTTCTATCAGCGAAGCCAGATTATCTCAGGAAACAGTCAAGCTATTTGCAGTCAAGCTATCTTTAAACTACCGTAAATTAGAACTACCGCAATGTTCAAGATGTCAACACTATAACTACACAAAATTAAGCTGGCAAATGCAACCTAAAAGCGTTAAATGTAATAGTTGTACTAGTTGGTCATACATTGGCCAACTGTTAAAGGGAAATAAAATCGAATGATATAAAATAACTAAGAAAAATTTCATATCGAATTGTATTATGTATAATATAATATCGAACTGCATTATATAATACATTAGTATATTGGGCTTCATCCTGACGTAGCATGTATCTTCAGGCAGCATCTATAGGGTCGTAAATCAAGTGTCTACAAGAATTAAGGAGGAGCTGGACATATTTGTCCTATTACGATGATTACTTGATTAAAGATCACCTTATCGAAACCTCGAACAGCATCGAAACGATCCTGCCATGACAAAGCAGGGATATCGAGCTCTGACAATGCAGCGTAAATACGATTACTTGTGAGGCTTCGAAAGCTGCTTTATAATCGATTAAAATATGGTGGATGTCTGGTCAATGATGCAGTGACCAGATCGAAAACCGCACTGATAAGGTTCAATTAGTGAGTTGACATGTGGCTTCAACTTTCCACACAGCACAATTAAATGGACCTTGTTCGCAACAGATATTGGGCTGATCCCACAATATTAGGCGCAATTACTAAGATACAGATAAGCCTATGTAAACTATCTCCTCTTACCACATTGTTGTCTTTTAGTCAATATATATAGCACACACTTGGGTATGGCTAGATGATAGAATTGCAACATTATCATTTTCGAAGCTGGAATCGATATTGTCCTTCTCAGATAATAGTTTGGAGAAATAGTCTTTCCATACTTTCAGTACAGTTTGGATATTTGTATGCAAATCACCATATTGTGCTTATAGGATTGATGCTCTAAACTTAAGTATTGAGATTGATTTGACGTTAAAAAATTGGTAGAACTAACGGTAATCATTTCTATCAGTAGTTTGTCGACACATTTCATTGTACTATTGCTTTCGTCATAGGGGACGATAGAAACTAATGAAATATTTCCCAGTTGTGCGTAGAAAGTGACGTATATGTCCCCATCGCCTGCCGACATTATTGGAATTATTGAAAAGATTTAGCGGAAAAAAGTTCAGCTGTTTCTTATTATTTTCGTACTTTTACTGCGACAAGATGATGGTCTGAGTTGATGTTTAGACTACGGCATTAACAAACATCAACTTAAAATGTCTGTCAGTCAGC